CCCCCGACGACTCACAAGTTCGCTGGTATCCGGATCCCGCCGGAACGCAGTTCGTCCTCCTAATCTCCCCATTCAATGCCTGGGTTGGGGACGCCCTGTCAGCTCGGAGCTGCTATCTTTCCAGGCTAGTCGAATCAATGCGCCACTCACGCGCTCCGGAAATAAGTCCCTCCTCTTTGCTCAGAGTATCGGGACACCACCACGACGAAGCCGAGAGCCCAACAGGGGGCCACCCGAACTAAGGTTCGAGCGGTTCGCAGACCCTTCCCTTCTCCTCACAGCCTACACCTTTAGGCTATTGACGTGAGTATCGCCAGACTCTGTGCAACCTGGCAGATGGAATCGGTGCCCGTCGGGCTTCTATATGTGGATTTCAGACTGGGCAAGCCCAGCAACCAGAAGCTTAGCATCGTCTACTCACTGCCTCCCCCTTGAAGCTATCGACGTGAGTGCTGCAGTGAAACTCAGAGTCCGGATGGTCGTCTGCAACTCTCTACCAGAGACTATGACCACAGTCACAGCTACAGCAGTACGACTACGCCACTTGTGAGAATACCGAAAGCGCTGCTGAGTGGCGCCATGTGAAGGGATGTCTAGTAGTCGGAAATTAGGTGCACGGGAGTCCTGTGGAATCTAGGAATACTCATGGAATACCTAGCTACATGTTCCTAGCTCCATGGGTAGTCCATTGCGTGCTGTTGTGGCAGCAGAGACCCTGACAGGAAATTTTGTGTACTATATCGTTCGCACGGCTAGCGTAGTGAGAGGGAATTGAGCTACGATATTTGGATCGCATGTGAAATGATGCCGTTTGCAAACTCGTTATCGAGTACATGTTTACAGGAAAGGTTCAGGGCCGATGAGTATGCGATGCTGGTACATACAAGTAGGACATGCCGGATAAAGTATTGTTCTGGGAGAAAATTCCAATCAAATGGTTTTCAAATTGTGCATCTCGGGTGTAATATGTCTGTGTGGAAAGCTGCCATTCGTTATTTTGTAGAGTATGTTTTCAACTTCATATTTTAAATAGCAAGTGACACATCATTAAAAGAACAGTGTAATTATGTAAATATTGAAAACATTTCTCACCTTTTTTCGTAACTATTTGATTACTTTGCTCCTAACAATATTCCGTCTAGGTCAGTTATTATTGTGATCACAGAGATTTTTTTATATTCTCTCGTAAAAAATTATGTCAGGGAGTTTCTATGATAATGAAGTGCCCCTGAAAACCCATGCCTCTAGAAGGTTTCGGATAATAGGATTTTTATATCGTTTATTTATTCGAGAGAAACATGCTAATTCTTACTCAAATAACATAAAGAACATTAGGTTAAAAATCAATACATAGTTGCATCGTTTATTCCCTCAAAAACTACCTTGGAAGCCATTTGACAAATTAACATGTAATAAAATACACTTATCACCTTTCTCATTATACATTAAAACCATATTCACACATATTGAGGTAAAATAGCATTCAATCATCCATCTTGCGTTCTGATATGTGGAATTCTCTGAATATCAATAAGTATCTATATATCTATAGCTAGTAGCCATTGTTTGATATTAATTTACTCTTTGCTATATTTAAACAATCTTGGCGCTTGATCACTACTATTATTATCTTTCGTTCGTGAATATCACTTCCCTTTGGCTGATCTTTGACAGCTCTCCATGGCTCACAAAAAAAATCTTCGCGGTTGCGTCGAGGGCTTGCTTCCTCTCGTCTCCACTTTCCAAAATACAGAATTTTTACATTTTACTTTTAACGTTCAAATTACAATGTTCTCTCCATTACACTGCTACTATTCTGTCCTTTAGTTCACGCTTTAACGTTAAATTGAAGTACTTAAGTTCCAAATTCCCAACAAATAGCGGAGCTCCTCATATCACGTCCATGCTACCTGGCGACTTCTCTTATTCTGCTCAGTTGTGTACGTAACAATTCTATTATTTGACACAACATCGTTCTTTCTGCGGCGCAGATCAAATTCGCGTGTTTCTTTTAATCAAACGTACCTTCTTCACCCACACCATGAACTCCTATTCGCAGATACCTTCCGTCCTTCTTTTTTTGTATTGTTTAGTTTTAAAAAAATTAATTAATGATTTTATTTAACTAAACCACACGTTTCTGAAACTCTATTTAGTTGTTTTTTTATGTTGATTTTTCGTGTCCATTTCTGATTCAATTGTGTGTACTTCAAAATGTGTACAAACGTTTTTACGTATTCAAAAGTTAGATGACTACGGCTTATCTCAATATTTTTATTGTGTATATAAGTACTTTCTCTGGTTGCACTTTCTGTCAAAGTTGTAAGTGCAACTATATTTTCATACGTTAATCATATAGGTATCGTAAATAAAATATCTGCGTGTTCCTGAAGACAGTGACATTACACAGATGTCACAGTATTGTTGTGTAAGCAAGAGTTACATTTTCGTGGTCATGAAAGTTAGCCATCACTTAATCGCGGAAATTTTAAAGAGATTGTAAATCGTTCTTTTCGCTATGATGATGATGATCTCCGATAAAATTGGAAGGAATTGGGCGGTCGAAAATTATCCAGGAACAGTTAATTGAATGTATTAATCGAGATATAAAGGACAAATTACAGAAGAAATTAAGAAAGTGCTG